CCCCCAAAGCCCCAGTAGATAGTTGTATGTCATAGTTGCACATCCTTCTAGTTGCTGTATGTGGGACGCGGCCTCAGCATGGCTGGAGAAGTGGTGCGTCGGTGCGCGCCCGGGATCCGAACCCGGGCCGCCAGCAGCAGAGCGCGCGCACTTAACCGCTAAGCCACAGGGCCGGCCCTCTTCTTTTTTTAATGCATTATTTAAATCCGTTGCCTCTAGGAAGTCTTAAATTAGTTTATACAGTCTAAATTCATGGGGACTTTAGTGAATTTGTAATAATCAATTTTGGCCACTGAGTTTAATTTGTTTTACTAGGTAAAGGAAGAAGAAAATAGAACTAATCATTTCTAGAGCAGGTGAGAACTGTGTGTAGGCTCTTGTTTTAAGGTGCATTGAGGTATGAGAATTGTTTATTTTATTGTGGTGTCAGTTGATTGGCTAATCTAGAAATTCAGTTATTACAATTAGATTGGGAGATTGGGTCAAAAATAATAGACATTTGATCCTGTGCAAGTGTTTGTTTTTAAGGGTCACGATTCAGGTTTTTCTTGCATTGTGGCAATTCCCATCCATCAAACCTTTTTGTATAGAAAAAACATGGAATTCATTCATCTAATTGGTATTAATCTTGAATCATAACGTGTATAAAAAGACAAATCAAAAATTTTTTGATGGGAAAGACAATGCTAAAGAGAAATCTTTTTCTTTTTTTTTTTTCGGGTGAGGAAGATAGCCCTGAGCTAACATCTGTGCCAGTCTTCCTTTCTTTTGTATGTGGGTTGCCTCTACAGCATGGCTTGGCAGGTGTAGGTCCGTGCCTGGGATCCGAACCCATGAACCGGGCTACGGAGGTGTAGGGCGCTGAACTTAACCACTATGCCACCGGGCCAGCCCTTAAGGAGAAATCTTTTTATCTCGTGGTCTCTCCTTCCTGTAAAATTCTGGTTTTCTTTTCCCCAAGAAAGAAAATCATATATGTGTATCTGCTACTTTCTCTTCTATTGTATTCCAATATAACTCTTTTTTACTTGGTATTTTGAAAAGTAATTGTTTAGCCAATTGGCTTTGGTTTGTTGTCTTAGATTTTAAAATATTAAACCTTTCTCCTAATGAGACAGGGTCATCTACACATAATATAGATGGATTCAACAAATGTTTTTGTCATTTATACTCTTCTTAAGTGTTTTCTTATCACATTTAATATCTGTATGCCTTTGGGTAAAGAAGAAAAGATCTCTGTACCCATAGAGAAACATAAGAGAGAGAGACAGGAAATGATGGAGAATTTAAAACCAATCTTTCCTTGATCTGAGTCTCCTTCCTTATGCCAGTAATAGCATTTATGGAATACTTGGTACCTATTAGTTATTTTAATGCTGATGCATTATCACAAATGCTCGATAGAAACATTATAAAGCAGATGTTATTCCCATTTAATATATGCAGAAATGAGGCAGAGCAAGGATGTAAAGCCAGATTGATCTGAATATAAACCTTCTCCATTGGTTTGTACGCTGCTATTCTCCTCTCCCTGTCTGGGTCATTCTAGATATTTGCCTGGTAAAGACCACTAGGCAAAATGTTAACGACTGCCTGACCTATAGCCTTTGCCACTTTGTATAAAGTTTGGATTTTGATCACTCAAAGGCTTAGATTAATGCCTTTGAGTATTATTATTATTATTATTAGTCTAAATTCTAGTTTAATCACTGTTGGCCTGATGTTCATGTTTATGAATTTTATGCTCCCTGAAGTATAATGGCTGATAATGTGTATGTTTAGATTCTTTTTATCTAAAAAGTACAGTTTTTTCAGGGTACAAATTAAGTAAAATGAACGTTCTTTTTCATTTGATTGCTCTACTCTTAAGTGTAAGCTACTTTTTCTGACTACATTCTGATGCCTGTCAACATTGATCTGTGTAGTAGAATTCCCATTAAGTGTGGTGTTAGTTTGAATTATACAATATTTAAAACATTTTTTTATTCCCTAATGTTTTTAAAATAAACTAATGGATAGTCTCAATATCATCAATTTTGTAGCTGCCTCCTTGCTCTAAAATTCTTAAAAATCATTGCCAGTGACTTTTTTAAACTATTAATTGTGCTTGAAACAAAATGGTATATTTCTTTCTTCTAGTCCTTTGAATTAGTTTCTTACTTTAACAATTCTGCTTAGAAGATGATGGAAAAAATTTAAAAATGGGCTATAAAGTCATTTGGTATTTTGCACTGATAGGTGTAAAATATTAGATGTTTTTTCTGCTTCTTTAATTTATAGTGAAACATCCAGGCTTCACTTATCATCATACCTCACTTACCTTGGAACACCAGCAGAAAAGAGGAGAGAATTTTTGAGACTCCTAAGTAGAGCAGAAATTGATGTCAGAAAGTCCACATTCTAAAACCTGTTCTAAAACTTTACTTACCAAAGAACCTCTTCAGTTTTCTGTTTTTTGTTTTTTTGTGAGGAAGATCAGCCCTGAGCTAACATCTGATGGCAGTCCTCCTCTTTTTTTTGCTGAGGAAAATCGGCCCTGGGCTAACATCCGTGCCCATCTTTCTCTACTTTATATGGGACACGGCCACAGCATGGCTTGACAAGCGGTGCATCAGTGCGTGCCGGGATCTGAACCTGCGAACCCCGGGCCGCCGAAGCCGAGCGCATGCACTTAACTGCTGTGCCACCAGGCCGGCCCCACCTCTTCAGTTTTCAAAACCTATTTACTTATATTTCAGAAACAGGTTTAAGAAGGTTGGCTGACATTTTCTGTTACTCAGCAGGTTAGAAGCAGCAAGGATATATGTACATTTATAGCAATAGAAAGTAACATGTAACAGGGAAGGGACAGAAAAATCATTAAAAGCCAACACCAAGACTTGAGACATAGGAGTCTAGTCAAACTTAACCTCTGTAGCTTAAAGAAATGATTATATTATATGATGATGGGGAGACTTTATATATATATATAGCTATATATTTCATCCATCCATAATTAGGACACTTAATCATTAATAAAAGATTAAGTTATGTATAGTAGTATAGTATGACTTGTTGAAGAAGATAGCTTTCTATAAAAATAGTTCATTTTTAAGTGTTTACTTCCTTATCTAAAGATTTGCTTGTGGAATGGACCTTTCATTCTTCATGGCCTGATAACTGAGATGTATAAAACTTTACGTAATTTTCAGATAATAAGAGTATAAAACTTAAAGTTGGCTTTTATCTTTCTTCTTCAACAGACAGCTGGAAATGATCCATATTGTTTTGTGGAGTTTTATGAGCATCGTCATGCAGCTGCAGCACTAGCTGCTATGAATGGGCGGAAGATAATGGGTAAGGTAAGCTATCATAATTAAAGGTGACTTGCACTGGAAAATTTTGAGTTGTGTATAGTTTTATTTCCTTTTTAGAAGCGTTGTATTCACTTTACAGCAAAATTTCACGTTTAATATTAAAAAGATGAGATAAAGCTTTTGGAGGTCGTGTTTATGTTAGTATTCTTCATGGTGCCTTGCACGTGGTAAATACTAAAATATTTGTTGAATTACTCAAGCTTTGATGAAACATCTAGGAAGACTGGATACTAATGGGAAAGAATAAAAGGAAAAAAATTTATTGGTACTTTAGGTAAGAAAGGTTAGTTGAGTGTTAACAGAGAAGTATGTTAAATTAGCATTTGTCAACATTATTTGCATAAGTGTAGGTTAAAAGATAACTATTGAAACTTTGACCAGAACTGGTATCCCCTTGAATGTTTCATCTCAAACATATACCTTCCTATGTGTTTGTAGATGCAAATCTTATAATATCTTATTTTGAGCTTTTTTATTATGGAGTATAAATGTAGAAAAATTTTTTTAGGAAGTCAAAGTGAATTGGGCAACGACCCCCAGCAGTCAAAAGAAAGATACAAGCAGTAAGTATATTTTATACTCTTTGAACTTTTGTTTTTATTGTACACAGTAGTTTTATTGTAAAGCATATAAACATCATACATGTTTGCAGTAATGTTTTGATCGTTATCCTAAGATATGATTGAATGTGTTTGTGTTAATAAATTTAAGAACAAATCTAATCTTTGTCATCAGGTAGTACCGTTGTCAGCACACAGCGTTCACAAGGTAATTGTATCTTCTTAAACATAAAATGAAATCTCTTGAAAGGGTATTCACTAACCACCTGAAGTTTTTTTGTTTGATATTGGGGGGGAGGAGGGTGGGAGGAGGTTGTATTTCTATTTGTGTCTCTGGCAATATTTTTCCCCCTTCTTCCCAGTGTTGACCAAGTGTGGCTTGTCCACTGCTTTGGTGCTATTTCAAGCTCTCTGACCCACTTGGTAGCAGCTGATGCCTTAGAAATACTTTCACCACCTAAAGGGCAAGATACCCTACTTCCTTGAGGTCACAATCTGTGCTTCATACCCAGATCTTCCGATTGCTTGAGTTGCTCCTGAAACTGTGTTTCCCAAATGGCAACCCAATATGTTGCTTATGGCCTGCCAAGTGGGGGTAACTTTTCTTTCCAAATATACTTTGTCAAAGTTGATATATATGTCCATTTTAAAGTGTTGATACAACTATTTTGTACTTTTAAAGTGTTTCTTTTTTTGAGCATTGTCTTTTTTGAAAAACTTCACATATGAGATCGTTGTTTCTCTCCAATGCTTTTTTAATGGCTCTGATATAAAGTGAAGGGATTACTGTTTTCATTCTGTTGCCTTCAGTCTTAGTTCACTTGCACATGGATTCACATAAACTGAATGGTGTAATGTCTGGGCAACCAAAACTGTTGGCTTTTGAGAAAACTATCAAATACTTTAACATCAAACTGTTGCAATGCAAGGTATTTCTTTGATTGTTCTTCACAAAATATGGTTAAACCAAATATATCATGTAGCTAGCTTCAGTAAATTGTCTTAACTGAGGCAAATCTAGTCTACATAACTCACAATACCACTATTTTATTTTAATGTGTAAAGCTTTAATATAGTGGTAAACGGGATAAATGTAAATAATTACTATTAGAATGGTGATTAAGTCATTAATTTTTTTTGCAAAACTTATTATATATTATTAGTTTATTTTCTTAGAACAGTATAATAATTGGCTGTAAGTAGAAATATAACTGTCAGTTTCCAGTTAGACATATCACAGTCTTTAGGAGAATCTTACTTGTATTGTCACCTTGATTCACTATGTTTAAAATTGATAGGATTTGTGTAGATATAGGATAGTGTTTTACTTATACTTTAATCTATAAATTATTTTAAGAATACTTTACTGAATAGATTTTAGTATTTTTTAAATTCTAAAATTTTGTTTTTCTTTTCACCTCCCCTTCCTTCCCCTTATAAGATCATTTCCATGTCTTTGTTGGTGATCTCAGTCCCGAAATTACAACTGAAGATATAAAAGCTGCTTTTGCACCATTTGGAAGAATATCGTAAGTAACAGAAGATAAATTTAAAGTGCTTTTAATTAGAAACAATCTTATGTAACAGTAATTTGAAAATCTATTGTGAATTTTGGACATTAATTTTAACACTTGAATATAATGTATTACATTGTTGGGAGACTACTCAAGCAGTTAACAGCCAAAGATTGTTTTCCCATTGATAAATAAATCTTTGGTCTTCAATTATCTTAAAATTCTTTTTCAGTTCGCATTAGCTTTTAAGAGACAAATTTGCTATATTGTACATATTGCTTTTTGTACAAGTGTCTTGTTAGCTTGGTGATAATCTTTAGTAAACTTGTGCTGTGACTAAGGAATTTAGACCCTTTGGGCACTTCTATGATACCATGCATTTTGTGTTAATATATTTTAACAAAAAGAAACTTTAACAGCACTGTCTTGCTTTCATTTGTTATTAATCGTGCAGTTTAGGCCCTTTGTAAATAGCTCACTCAAGGTAGTATTCATCATAAAAGAACTTTCATATTTTTAAAAGCATGCCATAATAAAGAATAGTAAGTTCATTATAGTACTTTCTTGGAAGTAGTTGGTGAATTTGGAAAACAGAAATTTTTTAGGGTTTCTGGTTGTTTTATTATTGTTCCAGCTAGAAGAGTAGTAAAAAGGAAACACTAGCTTTGGTTTGGTTTGGTGTACAGAACAACAACAGAGATGAGAAGGTGAGGAGACTGGAAAGTAAATGCCAATAGTATTGGTGATGAATTTTGGGAGTTTTCATTTGAAGAGTTTTAGTTCATTGGTAGGAGGATAAAAATGTGTAGTGACCAAGGAATGGTCATAAATAAGGGGCCAATTTTAAAGGCAGTCACAAGATAAGGGTTTATAAATGAACTCTTCTGTTAGGTGGCATTTTTCTTTGTGTGAACTGATTAGGAAAAATAAGTAAGTTCTAATTTCTTGATTGTTCCTTTTAATCTGCCTTAGGATTTGATGATGGTTAGCTTGCTTTCAAATATCTAGACCTGGAGGTCTTAGCCTTTGGCCTCTCAAAGGTTTTTGTATTTGTTTTCATTTTGGTGTGGAGTATCTTTGTAAGTTTTATCTTATTTTCAGAGTAGTCACAGGATCATAAAAGGATTAAGGAAAGATTAAAGAACCCTGATCTAGATCTTTGCTGCTTCTTCCTTAGAGAATCTTTTCAGAAATAAGTAAGAATTAAGTATATCTTAAGGCTAACATTTCCTGAAACTTAACTTTAAGAAGAAAAAAAAATTCTAAAATTTTACCAGATTAAACAGCTGTTTTGTTAAATGCTTTGATTTTGATCCAAGTAGCTTTTCTGAAAACCTGAGAATTTTAGTTTGGGATTAGATAAAAGTTGTTTAACAATTGGTGAGTTTAAGTTAAATGACATTCAAATTTTAGTAATTTCATGACTTTTTAATCATGGATCAATAATTTCTTATTAAATATGTTGTTATAATTATAATCTGTAGATTTTCTTATGGTTAACCATGATTATTGATGTATATATTATTTTTTCTTGGTAAGGCCTTTCTTGAAGTTTTACAATTTTCAGTTGACGTAATGTATAATGTCTAAGCTTTAGGCTACTCAAGGAGTTTGTGTTCCTAAATTTACAAGAACCATTTTCATTTGGTAGCATCATTTCCTGATTTTTTTGTTAAAGGAGATAAGTTGATAACTATATATTAAAAGGTTATGATAGTCAGATATTCTCTGTAGAGATCCTGTGACAGTGCTTGATTTATAGAAGGTATGCAGTCAATGGTGTCCTATTAAAATATTTAATATAAAAAAAATAGTACTTTCTTTCCCTACTCTATACAGTTTAAAGTCTTCCTGTTCCTTGAGTTCAGGGTAGTCGAACAAATTTTGGTATAGAAGAGAATCATCTACCAAATTAAATGCATGTGTACCATACAGATAATTTAATAAGTATTTTTACATATTGAGAAGTGACTTACATTCATTTTCCCTTTTTACCACCACTTCTTTGTCATTTTGACCCTAAACACTTAATAAATCACTCTTAAATTGATCAAAATATGCTTATGTATTCTTTAATATAAAATTATATTGCATGGCTTTCTGACTTGGGTTTTTGTTGTAAAAGTGCCTGTTTTGTTCATGTGTCCTGAGAGAACAAGCATTGTGACATACCTGGCTAACTTAAAAGCAGATTGCCTGTGAAGCACAATTTGAGTCCAATTTTTTGAGGTATGGAGTTTTAGCTATCATGGCTGGGTTTTTTTACTCAATCTCAAATAATAGGGCTCTGGTTATTTTGCAGAGTATCTCTGAAGAATGGACAGAATTGCCCTGGCTAACTACAAGCTACGGTTCACAGTGGATAAATGTTGGCGTGCTTTTTTACTTTCTGACTTTTTAAAATTTTGCTTTTATATCTCGTAGTTTCCAATCAATCTTATGTGATTGCTATTTTAAAATTCAGTATAAAATCTTTTCTTATATAGTTTAAAACTAAAGTGTGTGTCTAGTATTTTTCTTCAATGATTTAGCATTTCTGAAAATGTCAAGTTCTCAAAATTTACCCATAGTCCAAACGGGGGGTATGAATTGATCTGAGAAAATGAAATAATTTAATTAATTCAGGGAATATGCAACTTTCTCATTCTTTTAGTTTTCAGTTTTCTATTTATTTTTTAACAATTAGGTAGTTTATGGTGTGAAATAGCAAATTATAAATTGCATGGTTAAAGAAAGCCATTCATCTGATGTGCCTGGGAACCCTATAAGAGGTTAACTAATTCATCTGAATAGCTGCTTTCACCATGCTTAATATTTAAAAGTTTAAAAACCTTTTGAAGTGGGAGGCAATTTCTGTACAATGTATACGTATATATTTAAGAAGTTACTGATTTGCATGTTTATAAAATTAAGCCTTATTTGCTAATACATGATACATTTTATAGAATAAAAGGTGAATTTGCATTAAAGGTTCATTTTAATGAAGATGAAACATGAAAATGAGTTGTGTATGAAATTCTCTCTTGATATCCAGAGGAGAGTTTGCAAACCTAAACTTCTGACTGTTTCTAATTTCAGAGATGCCCGAGTGGTAAAAGATATGGCAACAGGAAAGTCTAAGGGATATGGCTTTGTCTCCTTTTTCAACAAATGGGTGAGCTCAATAAAAAGTGCATGTGCAGTGCTCTAAGAGTAAGGAATAAAAATACTCATTTTGTTTTAATTATTAATCTTTTCTTTCATCTGCCATTTGTTCATTTCACTGGTAATTAACACCCTCACTAAAAGATATCTTCTTTCTCCTGTTGGGTCATTTATTCAATATGTATTTATCATCTGATGCATGCAAAATACTGATAAAATGTTTTCAGAAAATAGAAAGTAGAAGTGTTTAAATTTCAGCCAAAGGTAGATATTGAAAATCTCAATTATGTATTTAATTCATTATCTCCCTGTTTTATATTCCCATGATAATTTAAAAATAGCTAATGAAATGCTCCAATGTGTGGGGTTTTTTAAAATTGTATATTAACATATTTGAAAATGTCTCATCATTTCTTTCAACAATCATTTACTGAACACCAATTTGCATGGACTTGAAATTTCTGGTTTTTGTGGAGAAAAGGAAGGATAGTGCAGTTTATCAAATGAGAGGTTATAGTAAGAAGGAAAAGGCTTATATTTAGTGTGACAGCTGGATAAAATCTTTGGCATGTCTTCCACACTGTGCCGTTGTTTAAATAAAAAAAGAATGAGGAAGCCCTGTACGTACTGATGATGGAAAGATTTTCATGGTATATTGTTAGGTGAAAAAGCTCATTTGTGTAAAAAGGAAGGGAGCATATATTTATGTGACGTGTGTGTGTGTGTGTGTTTCTTTTCCTCTATAGGAAACAAGAAACTTGTTGCAGGGTTTCCTGTTAGGGGTAGGTAATGAGTTAGGCAGACGGGGGCAGGAGGGGAAGCTTCTCACTATATTGTGCTGTTTGAAGTTTGAACCTTGTAAATATATTACAAATTCAAATAAATAATTTAAATTTTTTAGTGTGATAACTCAATGTTCAAAACAGTTAAATGCAGTTAAAGAGATACACACTTCCTAAAACATAGGGTCCAATGGTGGGAGAATTTATGTACACTAACCTTGGAAAATACAGTAAGGTTTCATTAACCTTAGATTTTATTGTATTGCCTCTGTGTTGTGACTTTGCCTATGATAAGTACAGAAACACTATACTTGTCTGTGTAAGAGTGTCTTAGAATGAGGCGTTAAAAGTTTTTGGTAGTATGAAATGTATTTTAGAAAGGCTTTGCTTTACTAAATGGAGTATTTGAAACAGATATTATATCATTTCTTGATGACTTCAGGTCAAATTTCTGAGCATCAGTTATTATGCCAGTTTCTTTTGGGTTTTTTAAAGATATATTTGTTTGCAGTTATGCCAAATAGTGTTGAACTGTGTTTTTTCTAGTTCCTGTGTCTGCTCACAGTGGAACTAATGTCTGGGTATTCTTCACTATGAGCTCTTACTATCCAGATATTTGCTATAACAGCTTCCAACCATTTTGCCCAAAATTTACTTTCCAAATCAAAAATCTACCCTAAAAATGTTTACGTGGCTTGCAACTTCAGGCAAGAGAACTAGAATGTACTGCAACTGTATCTTAGCTGTTTGCACAGTAACATCATATCTTGTGATCAGATTGTTTAAATGTGTTAAGCAGTGTAGCTATCATCTTCCTCTCATCAAGTGAAAATGTCTTCTAAGAAAATAGAAAAACCTGTGAAGAAAGCGAGTAAGTCTAAGAGCTCGGGAAAAATCCATGTATTAGAAGAAAAGTTGGAAATGCTAAAACATGAGAGGTGAAAAGATAAAACTTCTGTCATGTATGTGTCCCACTTTGTAAGATTTTTTTTTTCTGTGAGATGAGAAAATAAAAACTATGAAAGTGGAGTTGGTTCTGAAAGCTTTACTGTTAATCACTGCATAATATTTAGGAAAAGTAGAAAAATACTTCATATAATGGGTCGATAGCCACAATTAGTGTGAATTCCTTAGAGGATTCATATATAGGATATCAGTGTTTTGTGCTATTTGGGGAAATAGGTTGGGGGCTTTGGGTGGGCCAGGAACTCATTTTTTCCATTTCAGTTTATGGAATATAGGCCCCTGCTATATAAAAATCACTATTTAATGCATATTTAGTATGAAATAGAGTCATATAGCAAAAGATGTCTGTGTGTGGCCTCTGAAGTCAGCCAGATGGATTTGAATCCTGATGGCCATCGGATAGGTATAACTGAGAAAGTGATTTCATTTACTCTTCTCCAGTTTACATTTCAGCTTCTATAAAATTTGTGATATGTGATTGACGGGCACTGTCTGGTGTTACCAAGTGCCACGGCCTTGACTGCAATTACCCCCAACTCCGTTGCCTCTTTTCCTATGTTGTGTGTGCTAGGCAAACCCCAATACTGGTTGAACATAGCTTTTCTGCCTGCTAAAGTAACTGAATGTTGCTGGAGAAAAACTGAGTCAACTGGTTTTGCTTCTAATTTAATGGTCACACAGTTAGATGAGTACGTGATATTATCTTTGCAAACCTGTGTTTCTCTAGTAAGTTTGATTTCCCATTCTTTGATAACTATTCCAGGCCCCCTCCTATCTCCTCAGATACTTCTCACTCTTTGTCATCACTCCGAGCTGACAACCTTATGCTTCACTGAGAAAATAGAAACTATCAAACGGGAATTCCCTCAGCTTTCAACCACCAAACCTATATAAAATTCATCCGTCTTCCCCCTTTTCCTCCTATTACAGTGGGGGAAAGGTCCTTCCTGAAAAAGGTCAAATCACTTATGAGTGGGATCCCACCTCTTTTGCCTTCTCAAGGACTTTGATCCTGTGCTTATTTTTTTTCTACAGCAGCTTTATTGAGATATAATTCACATACTACAAAATCCACTCAAGTGTACAGTTCAATGGTTTTTATTTTTTATTTATTTATTTTTGTGTGTGTGTGAGGCAGATCATCCCTGAGCTAACATCTGCCAATCCTCCTCTTTTTGCTGAGGAAGACTGACCCTGGGCTAACATCCATGCCCATCTTCCTCCAGTATATATGGGACACTGCCTCAGCATGGCCGGACAAGCAGTGCGGCGGTGTGCGCCCGGGATCTGAACAACGGGCCGGCCCCTTAGTGGTTTTTAGAATATTCACATAGTTATGCAACTATCACCACAATTTGAGAATATTTCATCACCCCAAAAAGAAACTACGTTCTCATTAGCAGTCACTATCCTTTTCCTTCTATACCCTCTCCCCCTAGCCCTGAGCAACTATTAATATACTTTCTGTCTATATAGATTTACCTGTTGAGAACATTTTTTATAAATGGAATTGTTGTGCTCATTCTTGTTATCCTTTGTTATCAGTCTTTCCTTCTTCACTGGATCATTCCCATCAACCAAAAAACATGTTCTAGTATCTCTTAACTAAAACGACACTTGACCCCATATCCCTTGACCTATATCTCCATTTCTCTGCTATAGTTCAGAATCAAACTTCTCAGAAGAGTTGTTTGCATATGCTTCCACTTCTTCATCTCCCATTCACAACCCCCCACACACACACACACACAACACATCCTATAAAAAGTTTTTTTCCCTCTTTTGTGAGCAAGTAGTTGTATTTCTTTCTCAGGGCTGCTATATCAAAGTACTATAAGCTGAATGACTTAAAACAACAAAAATTGACTCTTTCAAAGTTCTGGAGGATAGAAGTCCAAAACAAGGTGTGATCGTGGCCATGCTCCCTCTGAAGGCTCTATGGAAGAATCCTTCCTTCTCTCTTCTTAGCTTCTGATGGTCGCCAGCAATCCTTGGCATCCTTGGGTTGTAGCTGCATCACTCCAGTCTCTGCCTTGTCTTCAGATGGCCCTCTTCCCTCTGGGTGTCCACATCGGCTTCTCGCCTTCTTAGGACATAGGTTATAATAGATTTAGAGCCCATCCTAATCCAGTATGGCCTCATCTTAACTAATACATCTGCAGGGACCCTATTTCCAAATAAGGTAACATTCACAGTTTGGGGGAGGGTGGGTAGTTACGACTTCATATCAATTTAAGGACACAATTCAATCCACAACAGTAGTTAAACATCTCATGGAGGGCTGGCCCGGTGGCTTAGCGGTTAAGTGCGTGCGCTCTGCTGCTGGCAGCCCGGGTTCGGATCCCGGGCGTGCACCGACGCACCGCTTCTCCGGCCATGCTGAGGCCGCGTCCCACGTACAGCAACTAGAAGGATGTGCAACTATGACATACAACTATCTACTGGGGCTTTGGGGGAAAAAATAAATAAATAAAATTATTTAAAAAAAAAAATCTCATGGAGCTCAAACTGGTTAGTGTGGTAAACAGTGTTTGTTTCTTTTTAAGAATATGCATTTCCTTTTTATATGTGTCTTAGGAGTGGCTTTTAGCCTTGAATTGGCCTGTTCTTTTGTGCTAGGTTAAGCCCACAGTTGACATATGCAAACCAGGCTGCACCTCATTTACATTTCAGTCCACTCCAAGCTGGCTTCTATTCTCACTTTCTACCAACACTACTCTTTTCCAAGTTTACCTCTTGATTTCTGCTTCCTTGGCTCCGTGACAGTGTACTTTTGTGGGTTTCTTCTTTCATCACTAGCTGCTACTCCTTAGTCACCTTAGCTAGCAATTTTTCCTTTACCCAGTTTTCAGATTTTGCTGTTTTTCAGGGCTCTGTCCCAGGATGCTTTCTTTTGTCTCTCTAGTCTTCATGACTCTGAATTTTATATCTCCAGTTCTGTTTGCTTCTCTGTGCTCCACACTTATTAACAATGGTCTTCATTTAGATGTTTTACAGACACCTCAAACTTCAAGTGTCTTAAATGGAGCTCTTTGTTTCTTCCTCAAACCTGTTCCCCTCCTCCCTCCCCGGCTTCTCATTTCAGTAAATGCTAGCACTGTCCTCCCTACTGCTCAAGCAGGAACCTAGGAGTTATCTTTGATTCCTCCCCTTGTACTTACTGTGCACACAAACTCCCTATGCCCATTCTGTTGACTCTTCCTTTAAATTACTGCTACTGCAATAGTCTGACCACCAACGTGTTTTTAAGTCAGGATATTGGATTAGTCTCATAAAGTGTCTTTTTCCTTTTACTACCCATCTCCCTAAACTATTCTCCTCCTAGCACTAAGAATGGCCTTCTTAAAACATAAATTGGATCATGACAGTCTCTTACTTAAAATCTTTCAGTTTTTTTCCTCTGGCACCCTTCCTTTTTGCTCACTAGATTCCACTGAAACTAGTTGTCTTTCACAGGCTTCAGAGGCAAATCAAACTCTTTCCTGCCTTCACACACTTTGCAATGCTTTTTCCTCTACTAGGGCTTTCTTCTCCAGTGTTTTGACTTGGCTAGTTCATATTCCTCCCAATTTCAGCTAAAATGACATTTCAGAGAGACCTTCCCTAATGAGGCTGTCTAAAGTAGATCCCCATGTGCATATTCTCCATCTCAGTCTTTTGCTTCTGTCATGGCAGTTACCAAGATTTGTACTTAGTTTGTCCCCCTAAAAGAATGTAAGCTCCATGACAGCAGAGACCTTGTCTGCTTCATTCATCATCATATCCCTGGTACTTAACGTGCTGCCTAGCACATGATAGCTGTTCAATGTTTACTTGTTGGATGAATGAGAAACCAAATACTATCATTAACAAGCTTGTTGGATTGTATAAAGTGAGATTTTCATCCATAATAGTCTGAGTTGTTGCATGAACTTTATAATAGCCACCTCCTAAGGGCTTTTGGGCTCTGGACTTTTTCAGGTGATTAACATTCCCAAAGTCTGCTATCCAAATAAAAGAAAGGTAATTTAAAAGCACTATTGCATTTTAGTAAAACTATCATATATTGTGTATTTCATAAAGCATTTTCATTCAAAAAATATTTGTGAAATGCAGCCATGAGTTTTCTCTACTGCTAACAGTTGTTTAATATCAACTAATAGTGGCTTCTTTGTCGTTTCTAATGTTATGCGGAACAGGATGCTGAAAACGCCATTCAACAGATGGGTGGCCAGTGGCTTGGTGGAAGACAAATCAGAACTAACTGGGCAACCCGAAAGCCTCCAGCTCCAAAGAGTACATATGAGTGTAGGTGTATTGGAGAAGAAAAGGAAATGTGGAATTTTGGAGGAAAATACACTAGATTTTAAATGTTAGACCTGTTCCCCGGAGACTTATTGCAGAAATAGATGAGAAGCAAATCAAGACTACTATTCAAAAATGTACTTAGTTTTCATTTTTGTAATTATAAATAATAACTGATATCTCTAATGTCAAGTCTCCTATTAAATAGAAAATACTGGGTAATTTTTTAGACAATCTTGGGGGAGGTTTAATTCTCAAATGTAATATGTATTATATAACAAGGTAAATATTACCATTGCAGTAGTGTAGTTAATGCTGCTTTTGTCTTTCTGAACATTTTATGTAACGAATTAAAAATATAAAACTTTGCCTCCCCAGCAAACACCAAACAGCTATCATATGATGAGGTCGTAAATCAGTCTAGTCCAAGCAACTGTACTGTGTACTGTGGAGGTGTCACTTCTGGGCTAACAGGTATGGGAGCTTTACCTGTGTGGCATCTTGAGATTCGTTTTTAAATTGAAAAGCTTAGGGCCGGCCCTGTGGCTTGGTGGTTAAGTGCGCGCGCTGCGATGCTGGTGGCCCGGGTTCGGATCCCGGGTGCGCATCGAGGCACCACTTCTCCGTTCATCCTGAGGCCGAGTCCCACATACAGCAACTAGAAGGATGTGCAGCTACGACGTACAACTACCCACTGGGGCTTTGGGGGGAAAAAATAAAATAAATAAAATCTAAAAAAAAAAAAAAAAAAGAAAAGCTTAATATTTGTAGGATTTTAATATAACGTAGTGTGGTTTGTTTTTGTTTTCTAACAGAACAACTAATGCGTCAGACTTTTTCACCATTTGGACAAATAATGGAAATTCGAGTCTTTCCAGATAAAGGATATTCATTTGTTCGGTAAGAGTATTTTTTTTTTTTTTTTTTAAACTTTTCCCCCTAAAATTATTTTTAAACATTTAACTTAGTGGTTTTCTTGAAAATTTATGTTGGTTATAAAGAAATAGAACTTTCCCCAGTATTTGCCACTGTTTTTCATTAGCTCCCTCCTTCCAAAACAAGGCCAGTAAAACATGCTCTATTAAAAGAAGTTTCTCCAGAACTACAAGATCTTTGGAAAAAAAATAGCAATGAAAAGATGCCATTTTATTGATTGTTTTATATGAACTGCCTATTTTACCTCATGTTCCACTTGATTTTTAAAAATAGGTTTTATTCCTAAGTATTTTAAACAGTTTATGTTGGTGATTCTTAATATTGTTTTCACTAGGTTCAATTCCCATGAAAGTGCAGCACATGCAATTGTCTCTGTTAATGGAACTACCATTGAAGGTCATGTTGTGAAATGCTATTGGGGCAAAGAAACACTTGATATGATAAATCCTGTGCAACAGGTGAGAGACTTTGCAAAGTAATTGCTGGGCTAATAATAAGGTTATTTTAAAATGAAATTGTTGATAATCGTTGTTAATAAGTTTCTAGCTTAAATGATAGTATATAAGGGCTCTTCCTACGTGTATTATAGTTCCAGAGTGGTGGTTCATGGATTGCAGTTGGGACATGTGTGTGACTGCCTCAGTTGACTCATGCTCATACAGTGGATTTTAAAATGCTCCAACATACCTAACAGGGTATTAAATTTTTTCTTAATACTCGGTAGATTTGTTCACATACTATTTGGAGAACTCACAACATGCTTGACTCAATTGAAACAAAAATAAAACTATAAATATATTTAGGGCCTTGACATTTTCTTCCAGATTTTGCTGCTTTTGTTTTTCCAGGCAGCTTTAGTGGTTCAAACTTGATCCCACAGAGATGTCTATAAGTAAATTGTAAATGGAGCACCAAGATAGCAGTAAGAATCCTGGGGCTGGCCCGGTGGCATAGCGGTTAAGTTCTCATGTTCCACTTCAGCAGCCCAGGGTTCGCCGATTTGGATCCTGGGCACAGACCTACTCACTGCTCATCAAGCCATGCTGAGGTGGCATCCCACATAGCAGAGCTACGACTCTACAATTATGATACATAACTATGTACTGGGGCTTTGGGGAGAAAAAAGAAAAAGAGGAAGATTGGCAACAGATGTTAGCACAGGGCCAATCTTCCTCAAAAGAAAAGAAAATCCTAAACTACAGTCATGTGTTGCTTAACGACAGGGATACATTCTAAGAAATGTAGGCAATTTCATTGTTGTGGGAACATCACAGAGTGCACTTACACAAACCTAGATGGTATAGCCTGCTACACACCTACGCTATATGGTACTAATCTTATGAGACCGCTGTTGCACATGTGGTCCATCGTTGACTAGAACGTCGTTATGCGGTACATGACTGTATATGTTTCTTAAGTAAACCGAATATAGGAATAAGTAATCTCTATATCTTCCCTATCTAAAGGAAACAGTCATGTGGATAGTTTACAAAACACTTAAACATTATACTGAGTTTACTATTTATTACTAGGGCATTACCTACTGCCTGCATTACAAAGAGTATGCCATTCATAGCATCACATAGAGTTACAGCAATATGTCACATTTTTTTTTAGCAGTCACTTTCTAAACTCTTGTTTATCTTGCATTTTAATTGTAATGATGGCCCTATGTGTTATGGCTCTGTATTTGTGGTATATTAGGACTATATATGTACATATAACTTCAAATAATACTAAATTATCTGTTATAATTTTACTTAATAGCAGAATCAAATTGGATATCCACAAGCTTATGGCCAGTGGGGCCAGTGGTATGGAAATGCACAACAAATCGGCCAGTATATGCCTAATGGTTGGCAAGTACCTGCATATGGAATGTATGGCCAGGCGTGGAACCAACAGGGATTTAAGTAAGCATATTTGCTCTTTTCCTTTATTGTTAGCCTTTGAAAATGTCAGGAACTTAGCAAGAGATTTTAAGTAATTAGTCGGTAATGTGGCCCTCTTGTTTAAAGCATAGCTTTAGCCTTTGAAGGATTTTGCTTAGAGTGGTTTTTAATTTATAGTTTTAAGTATCTCTTTAAAGATTTGCCTAGAAATACGTTGCTTTGAGATATAACCAGTATTATAAGAATTTGGTAATGCTTGGTAATGAATCAACTAATATTTCAGTAAGAAAATAAGAGTTTAATAATTGTTCAGCTTTTTATGTGACTAATGCTCACTTAGCCATCCTTGGATACAGTTATTTTGATGCTAGTTGTTTTATTCATTATGGTTTTTTCTGTGCAAAAGAGTTTGTTCATACATTGTTATATGGAAGCTTCCTTATACACCCTCAATTACGTAATTTTACTTAAATTTCTAAAAATAAACCGGAAATTAAAATACTTTGCAGTTTATTTATTAAAAAGAATCTTGTATTTGTAATGTTGAAAAAATTTATGAGCTTACATATGCTAATAATTGTTTTAATTTCTTCTTTGAGTAATATAAATGCTAGTCCTTATCATACCAAATGATGCAGTTTCTTTTAGGTAGTGGGTTGTTCAACATGGGTCTAACCCAGATGGACAGTTTTCCTTTCTGAAGTGAGAGATGAGTTTTTTCTGAGTCAAAGGGGATAAATGTTTACAGGTTAAGGGTATTTCCTTAGCTGTAATTAAACTAACAAAATTAAACTGCACAAATTAAACCTATGAGGATACTAGTTTTTAAGAGAAAAAACTTTTGCCTTTGCTTTCCCTGGCATAACAATTATTCTTATATTTGAGCTTAAGAAAAAGTATCTCTCCCATGTATATGTTATTTGTTCTTGGCATTACATTTTATTTTAATCAGTGAATTTCCCCTGCCTTCTGCCTCTTTGACGTTCTCTACCAGTCAGACACAGTCTTCTGCACCGTGGATGGGACCAAATTACGGAGTGCAGCCACCTCCAGGACAGAATGGCAGCATGTTGCCTAATCAACCTGCAGGGTATCGAGTGGCAGGGTATGAAACCCAGTGAAAAAGGACTCCAGAATCTAAAGCCAGAGGCTTGAGGCTACAGGGATTGTAGTAAAGCCGTTGTTTACTTAAAGATTTATCAAATCAGTCAGTGCAAATGTCAGATACAATGTATTTATTTAAAAGATTCATTTTTTAATCATGAAATTACTTATCATCCACATTGTTTTAAAAAGAAACAAGATGCTGGATGTCTGCCAATTTTTGCCTTCATTACCTTTTTTGATAAAGTTTCTCAGATCCTTGTTTCAAATACAAATGCAGGGATTGCTGCCACTTTTTTAAAATTAAGAGGCAGAAAATTGCACAATGTTGAACTTTTTTCCATTAAGGTAGTATGAAGTTCTAGTTTGCATTCCTGATATGATTTAAACATGTAATATAAAGAGTAAAAAAAACGAACAACCAAAACTGTGCAGAGTGTAGAAGTTCTTTGTAATCTTCAGCTTGTGCACAATTCTGTTTTAGGTTTTTTAAAAAAAGGCATCGTTTGAACTGTCCCATCTCCACTGTGTTCCCTTTGGGGTTTTTAAATATAAATTATTAGTTTACATCATTTTTGTATCTACATTTTTTCACAAATTTGTCTTGCCTTATTAAAGTTCTGTAAAATATACTTAAATGAAAAAAATGACGTTCACTTAGATTGAAAACTTTTCTCAGATGGACTGATAATTGCATTCATCTTGTGTTTTATATGAGAAGGTGCCTCAAGAATTCCCTGTTGGATTTGTTTAAAAGGATTTTTATCTTCTGTGATAAACTTTGCTGTGTACCAGGAAATATAAAAACAAAAACTTGTTACTAAAGAAAATCTCTGAAATGTGATAAGTTCTTTTGAACCCGTGTTGATTTCATGTGTCAGCTTCTACATTTACATGTATTATTTCATTATGTAAAATGTTATAGCAATTTAATACTTTGCACAGTTAGCAAACTTTGTATGTCATTTCCTTCTTAAAGGCATCATGCAAAGTTGACAGGACATTTATAGGTTTTAAGTTCTTTGCTTGTGAATATCAAATACACACCTTGGTAGTCTTTGAATACAAAGTCATCTGCTCTTGTTTTTCAAGAATTTTGAGACACAAAGTTGTATGTAAAGAATATATTAATTTGCCATTTTCTAGCTATATTTACTCAAAAAGAGTAAATCAACTTAATATGTACAAATGATAGCTGTGAAACTGTAGAAAATCCTTATGTCAGGCTTGGGGTTCGTTGTAAACTCCAAAATTAGCCTGAAGGACCAGCCGAGCAAAGCATTTTTTAAATGTTCAGAGGCCAAAAGATAAACAAAAAAAACCCTTAAAATCCTACCTCCTTAAACAGCCTTCAAAGAGGAGAATCCTCAGTGCAATCGTTATTTTGATTCTTTTGGTACCTGTTTTCCTGGAGTTCCCAATTTTATTATTTTGGGGTGGCTCCGAGCATTAAGAGTTTTAATCTTTGATGGCAGTGTTCTAGTTTTGAAATTTCTAGTACATTTCAGAGTCTCTTAGAAGAGTTGTGGGAGATATTGTTTTGTTTTCAGTGAAAGGCACAAACTCTGTTCTTCCTTGACTCACAAAGGGGAAAGGTCCCCAGTATACATATTTGGATGGTTGGTTGTTTTTAAGACCTTCAGAGAGCTCCTAGCATTTTATTTAGAAACAGAAAAGGCCTGTGAAATCTTCAGGTTTCCTGGCCGGTACCTTCCAGGTAGGAGCAAATGACTCTAAGCTGGTCTCTAAGCCAATACTCTTATAAACCAGAGCCCAGGAAAGACAGCTCAATTCTATGCAGTTGTACTGATGTTTCATTAAGTCACTGTGTATTTTTAAGTGTTGATACATTAAAAGTTGCTTTATGGAAAATGAGTACATTTTCTAAATACTTGGAAATTTTATTTCCTTATTAATTTCTACAGATCAGGGCATGCAACCTAAAGCAGCTTAAATGAAATACTCAAAAAAATAAATTATCAGGAAGCTATTTTTAGATCCCTCTGGCTTATGTTTCTATTTTAGGACCCTCATTATTTTTCTCTTATTCAAAAATATTTTGTTTCCTATACATCTGTGGAATGCAGGGTAAATTATTTGGGCATAAATAATTTAAGCAAAAATACAGTTTTTCTTTCATTTTGACTTTATCAAGTAGTAACAACACTTTTTATTAGCCAGTATCTATTCTTATTGCACAAATCTTAAAATGTACATTGACTACTTTTTGAGAAGAAAGTGGTATATTACTCAGATGAAAAGGTTACTACTGAACAAATTCACATTTCAGGCACATTGCTAACTTTAGTTTAAATCTTACTCTTAGTGTTAAAACACATCATTTAAAGATTTTTCAGTCTAAAAATCATACTGGTATTAGTATTCAAGTATGGAAATTAAAGTTTAAAAATGATTTCATTCTCTGCAGTATGCATTCAGATTTTATTTTAAAATATGTCTGGTACTGTAAAGAACCTGAAGTGATTCACACTTACTGGGTCATTAATCCAGTCTTTGCCCTGACTGTTTGGATATTAAAGTTCTTTTATGTTTTCTATAATCTATGGGATCTTCTTGCAGTGATTATTGTGTGTGAGAGATTTTTTTTTCTTTTGATCTAGCCATATTGTTATATTCACCCAGATATTTGTTAGATTTTTTTAAAAAATCTTATTTCAGAAACCATGGTTTGCACTTGATTACTGTTTAATACCACAAAGAATTGGCATTCTGTAGATTTAACTTATTATGAAACCAGGATCTCGTTTTCCTCGTTGATATTCTCTCCCTGTTGAAAATGAGATTCACATTCTAGTGTTTTATTCTTCTGTTTGTCCCTGTGTTTGCTCGTCCTCCTTTTGTATGTGTGTTCGAGTTCTATTACATTTGAGAAGGCAGTTGATAAGGACTAGATTGATTATACAAAGAGAGTTAGGTTTACTAAGTGCTAATAGGGTGCCCTTGAGGTTACAGTTGAGTTGGAAAAATAAAATGTGTTTATAGGAAATAAAAAGCAAATCCTTTCCATGAAAGAGTGATGATTTATAAAACCAAAATCATTTTTTGTAGGGGGTTATTACATTTTTTCCAGTCACTGCATTTTGACTGTTGTGTTTAGAACTTGAAGAACATACCTCCAAAAACAATAAATTTTAATTTAAAAGCTTTAATAAAATGTATTTGAATGTGTCTCAATTAAATAGGATTTACACTATGGCCTCTAAAATGGAGGCTGAAGTTAGTTTGATAGTAATTGAACTAAAAAAGGAAAAAGTAGACGTCTGACTCAGGGTTACTAGGCTAGGGTGAAATGCTATACAGAAAATAGGGATTAAGCACAATTTTACATACTAGATAAATGAGATCTCTAGCTCTTATCCTTGTTCAGCTCCAGAATACCAACAGCCACACTTATACATACCAGGCAGGATTTGGAGGATCCTTCTGTGGAAAACTAAACTCTTGAGAGAAAAGACCAGTGCTGACATTTGAGGGTCCCCACCAAAAAGCCAACTGACAACCAATCCTGCAGTGGAGTGTGCCAGTCAGTAAGCCCTGTCCATGTACACTAATCTTCCAGATAGGTTTGTAATGTTTCTCTTTTAAATAAAGACAGCCAAAGATCACCAGAAATTGAGAAAAACTTTGTGAAAGGTAAATCTAAACAAAAAGCAACTCCCGAGAATTACAAAACTTCCAAGAACTGTAATATCCTCAGATAAAAGAAGATACTGTATTCAAGAAACTAGAACAGGATACTAGTAAAATGTCAGAACAAGAAATTAAAATATGAATAAATTCAGTGAGAATATTAAAAGACAAGGAAATGTTCTAGAACAGAAATCAAAAGTGAAGGGAAAAAAATACAGATCAATTCTGGAGGTTTAATATATAATCAATAGGAGTTCCAGGAAGAGAATTGAGAAAATAGGGAAAAAAATACAGACCAATTCTGGAGGTTTAATATGTAATCAATAGGAGTTCCAGGAAGAGAACTGGATAGAATTTATTAGAAAATAAAAGAAAATCTCCCTGATGAAATGATGAGTCCCAAGATTGAAAAAAGGCTATTATTGAATTAGCACGATAAATATAAAAGACCCATACGAAGGCATACCACCATGAAATTTTAGGACATAAAACATAAAGAGAATATTCTAAAGTTTACCAGATAGCAAAAGGATTGAAAATAATAGTCAATAGCAACACTGTAAACTAGGGATCAATGGAGTACTGTCCTCAGAAGTTTGAATGAATTATATGTCCGACTATACTGTCATGGGTGACAGTAGAATAAAGACAGTTTTATTTAATTATTTATTTATTTATTTATTTATTCCCCCAAAGCCCCAGTAGATAGTTGTATGTCATAGCTGCACATCCTTCTAGTTGCTGTATGTGGGATGCGGCCTCAGCATGGCTGGACAAGCAGTGCGTCGGTGCGCACCCGGGATCTGAACCAGGGCCGCCAGCAGCGGAGCGTGCACACTTAACCGCTAAGCCACGGGGCCAGCCCCTAAAGACAGTTTTAGACATGCAAGTTCTCAAAAGATTTTCTTCCTTTCACTGGTTCTCAGCTACTGGATACACTCCATCAAAACGAGAGTAAATCAAGAAAAAATATAATGTGTCTAGAAATGGGATCCAATACAGCAGTGAGATAAAGGGAAGACCCAGGATAACAGCTGTGAAGTGACTTGGCAGGCAGTCCAGATTGATGGTCAGGAGTAGACCTGATTATCTGACAGGTTGGGCTATGTAGATAAGTGTATAGTGAGACATTTTACAGAACTATAGAGGATGTGAGAATACTTAAATGCTGGAAGAAAATCAGACAAATGGAAAGAGGCAATTGTCAGGAAAAGCATTGTAAGAGAAAGGAAACGTTCCTTTCCTGAGCCAAGTACATGCACTAACATAGTATTAGAGAAGTTTTCCTGAATTATATTCATAAATATTTGTACTATTCCCCTGCTTTGGTTTCCTTGGGCAACTCCAGTTGTATGTTGGATCTCCTCTGCCTATCATCTGTTTCTATGATTTGTTCTTAATTCTTTTTATCTTTTTGTTGACATTTCTCATTTCTAATCTCTGTTCCTTAACATGCTTCCCGTGGTATCCAGACTTGCTTGTGTTTCTTTTAATTTAGTCTTCATTTCTGAGATGGTCTTGTGTTTTTCTGTTTCCTAAGTTCTACCAGTTTCTGTTTCACTTTAGGGACATCTATTCCCTGAATTCTTGTATTTCTTAGCTGCATTTGCTTCATTAGATTTGTAAAATTCATGTTGAAATGTTGGTGTATTATTTTCAACTGCTTTGTGGAAACATTTTTCTTGTGAGTTTTCTCCAGGGAAACTAGGTAAGTTTTGCTACTGTCTCATATTTTTAATTAGAGTGTCATTGTACAAATGCCATGCTTATTCATTTCTATTTATTCATATTTGAAACAGTTGGATTTTCCTAGACCAAGTACCAGCGGGAAGATGAAGGGGAGGGACCCTGTTCAGGTTTCTGATCTCTCTCTGGCTACAGTGAATTAATTGTCTGTTTAAAAGTGTAGCATGGATTCTGTCTCTTGGAATGTGACTTTGTTCAGAAGGAGTTCCCTGCCAGCTCTGAGTCCCTTGGTT